ACTTGCGGACCCCGCATGCTGCACATGTTGCTGTAGACGTTAAGTATCCCCATCTTAAATACGGCTACGGAAGGCATCCCCGGGCCGAAAGTTTCGAGCTACATGTGTATTATCTAACATGCAGGCTCTTGCGGAGTAGCGGAGTCCCTCAAAGTGACGGGGTAATGTCTACCCCGCTTAAAAAAAAAAATACCGTTTAGTTCCGGAGGCGGCCCCAGGGCTCACATGTGTTCGGAGTCTATGGGGAAATGGATGGGTACTGTAGCATGTGCAAGCTAGTCGAACTATCGGCCCGGCGCAGTATGCACTCACGGGCTCCCAGGCAAACAGACTTACTTCTCTGTCATTCTTCCTCTGCTGCATGACCGGTCCCGTTCCACTTGCGACTCGCTGGCGTCAGTGTCTCGACCTCAACACGGGATCGTCTGCGAGCAACCCTTCTCTGACATGCGTCCTGTCGCAAACATTTGCAAACCAATGCTCTGGCACGGAGCTGTCATAGCTGCCACTTGTGGTACAGATGTTTTTGGCAAGATCATTGTCGGTCCTCGGTGGTGCACAAGCGCAAACAAGGTTTCTCGGCTGTTCTGCTTTCACGGCAATCTTGATGTCCTTAACAATGGTTGACCTGAGCCTCCAAGAACCTTCTGGATTCTGAATCATGCCTTTCGAGCTCATGAAGTCGCCGGTGCAATCCTCACGTTCACACCCCAGCGTCCGTGGCTCCAGCTAAATGCCATGCATCTGCAAGATTTACCCGGTAGTGAGGCTCGCTCAACCTTTCCAATGCAGTGAAGAGGTTCTGCATCCGATTGCTCTGCAGCACAGTCCGAAAGCCTGCAGCTTCTGTCCAGCAATTAGTCACTTGGTCTTGTGCTGACCGAATTGAAGGTATGGCTCGCCTAATGCCGGCTTTGCTTGCATCGCTTATTCGAAGGACGGTCTGCAGAATTGCTGTCGCAGCTTCGAGTGATGCGGATCTGTTTCCACCAGCCTTACACAAGGAGTCTCCGTCAGGCACTCCGACGTGGGCTTGTTCATCCCTTGCCAATCTCACAAGGAGCGCGAAGAGCGGCCAACCGGACAAAATCACTGATTCCCAGGAGATTGAGAAGATGAGAGGTAGAAAAACAGTGCTCTCCGCACCCTCTGTTGTCCTTTCAATTCTGGAGCTCGGCTCGAGCAAGAGAAGGACGAGCAACTGCAGGCATAGTTCACCAAGCACAAAAGGCTCAGATTGACTGTCGGTCTGGAAAAATGCAAGAAGCGCCCCGGCAAGCTCGCCAACAGCTTCTACATCATCTTCTGGTGTAGACAGAAACGCGACCAGCTGCGATCTAGCAAGCTGCCACGGACCACTCCGAAGATGCCCCAATGGTTCAACTTCTGTTTGAGTAGTGTGCCGTGATGCTGACAGCAGTGAGTCATATAACACCTCCACCATCGTGTCACCCCACAGTTTTAGATTCCGTCCGGCTGCAAAGCCATCTTTGTTTCCCATATCAAACGGATACCCTGCAGCTGACAGAAAATCATGGACAGGCCGCTTGTATAAAGCGTTTTTGACTGTATGTGTAAGCCACAAGAATTCTTGCACAACCCGTCTGTCAAGAAACGGATACCTTGCTTCGATCCCATGGCTCCCGGCCACAACTTCTTCTTTCATCAAGTAGTCTCGTTGCGTCCCCAGGAAAACGGATCGCCAAGGGAATATGGATGCTAGCTCCTCTGGAAACAAGCCACCGAAGGAACTGTGAGGAAAATATTTGACGCCAGCAAAGCCATAGTCTGAGATGATTTCGTCTGCTCCTGCCCCCGAAAGGTAGACCAGAATTCCAGATTGCCGACAACGCCTGAATATTGCAGACAGGCCAGTGGCAGCACCATCTTCTTGAACGGATCCTCCTGCCCAATTGCTCCTTCCGTATCGGAATGGCTCAGAAGTCAGCTCAAGCCAAGATCGCTCTGCCTGAAAGTCTTGAAGTGACAGGCTTAGAAGGAAGGCTCGGGAAACCGACCTGTTGTGAGAGAGACGCCTGTCAATGAGATCAGGGAGCTCCTCAGCGGCAACAGTGAAATAGTTCACTGAATGTGCAGCAGCTTCAGCTTCGAGGGCCACGTGTAAAGCCCCAGAATCGTATCCACTACTCAGTCCGACAAAGATGGGATGGTTTGAAGCAGCGACACGTTTCCAAACGGCTTTGCTGAATGCAGCCTGCCAGTCCTGCGTCGAAGTCTTAAATTGGCGCAGATCGAACTCATGCACGGAGTGATGCTTGACCGATGTGACCACAACCGCACCAAGCTGTGGAGCTTCTGCGTTGAAGCTGAGGGTAAGCTGCAGTACCTTCGAAACCCGGCTACTGGCTTCAGGCAAAAAGGAAAGCCACATCACGACAGATGGGAGGATGCCGCTAACGACAATGACTCTGATGCCTTTACGGCACCCACGAACCATAGAAGACATCCAGCAATCCTACCTACTTGCCGAGTTTTTGTGTGGACTTCCCACGCTTTGAATTCGTTGCTTCTTTCTGGGAAGCTGTTCGGATATGCCACTTCACAAAACTTGAGAACGCCTGGTTGTCTGGACCCCAGGTCGTTCAAGGGCAATCCCTCAGCAAGGTTATTCACACTGGATACAGGAACGGATCGGGGCCCCTGTCGAAAGGCTGACTGCGGCGTCTTGCCATGTGCGGTCCACTGGTCAAATAACCACGTTGTGAAGCGGTGCAGAATGGGCCCGCAAGGAAGGTTCGATCATGTGAAGTTGAACATGTCTTCGTCGATGGATGTGCTTTAGGTGTGTATTTCAGTTGTGTGATCACGCCCGCAGATGTTTGCAGATGTCGGCTCAGGTGATCGGATTGGTGCCACGAGGCAGCACCTAACCTACGACATCTAGCCGTTTTCGCCGCTTCCAGCTTGGACATCTGCTACATTTACATGAGATGCATCAGCGACTCGGCACCGGCATCTAACCAACATGGTGAGCATGTCCAAAGTTGTTCCGCTGTTCGCCTCGTTGGGTCTGGCAGCTCGAATTTCATTTTCCGGGATTCCGAGTCGCAGCAGGGCCTCAGCAAAGCTCGCTGGATGGATGCGAGCCATGAGCTACACAGTTGGTGCTTGGGAGCAAGCCGACCGGTATGAAGATGCATGCAATCCCTCGTAGAAGGAGTACCTCCCGAGACGTATTCTGTTGAGGTCTTCGCTCGAACACAAGCAAAGGCGAGCGCGAAGGTCACCAAAGAGGCTTGGTGCCAAAGACATCAGTGCTCAAGACTGCCACCTGCAGATTCTGTCTAGGCACCACAACGATAGCAACTACTTGAGGGCCAGGGGCATGGAGAACGAAAGCTCGGTCTTTTTTAACAGAAGGACTCAACGGCTACACACACGCAAACGCA